TACCCCCCCCCCCAGCTGACCTTTGCCATCCTCTTCCTCCTATTGCTGGCCCGGGATCCAAGAGCAGAAGCAGTTTGCACAGGGCAGGAAAAACATGAGGTCCTCACCCAACAACTGCAACCTGGATTGCCAGAACTGCCGTCGTTAAGCAGCATGGTCATGTGACATCTGGCTTAATGACTGCTTTGTTTAGCGACAGAAATTCCAGTCCCAATTTAAGGTCGTAACCCAAGGACTATCTGTATGTCTGCTTTTGAAAAAAAATAAACTTTTGTTTTTTTCAGGAACCTTTACCCTTTGCTTCATCCCTATTTGAATTGCAGTTCTTAAAGGAAAGTGTAACTATAACCTTCCTGAATAAAAGCCAAGGGAAGAAGTATTCATTAAATGATTCCCATTCATAGGACCATTAGCACTGTTAATTATAACATTTTAATTTTAACTCAATAATTAATTTAATTGTTTTACCACTGTTATATTTCTCAGGAAAAGTTAAGTATCAAGCTGGCTGATGATTAAAGTTGTAATGATTAAGTTAATGCTTTACAAACATTTGACCAAATGGTTTAATCACTTAAAATATCATTCTTCTTGTGTTATTCACCCTATTTAGAACCTTCTGGCAATAATCCAACAGACTACTAAAATTACTAGCTTGAACTTACTCCAACTCATAAATCAAATCAAGACAATAAATCATAAATTCAAAAATAAACAATAAATCAAGTTTTTCTCCAAAAACCAACTTATGATTTTCTGCCTAACAGTTATGGAGATTCTAGTAGCCATCCGTTAATAAAAAAGTAATAGTCCATGCCTAGAAACAGATGATAATTTCCTTTACATTAAAGGACATTAAGGGAATTATTCTATATTCTTTTCCTAGGAAAGGAGTTACTGAAAGGGATTTAATTTCAGTAGTAGTAAGAAAAAAAAACAACCTCAACCATTAATAAATAACTACCAACAGCAGGATCCACACATTTTTTTAAAAAAATGTTCACCTATCAACAAATCAGAAAGAAAAAGATCCTGGTAACTTATGAGGAACAAAGAATTCCACATATGGGGAGTTATGAAAAAGTAGTCTATGCTATAGACCATGATACTGAAGAAACATCAAAGAAGGAAACAGTGTCTTATGGTGCATCACTTTCTTTTCTTCATTTACTGATTTGTAGCAACCTTTCTTTTCATATTTATTGATTTATTTGGACATTCTTGTTTGTTTATTTATTTGTAGGGACCTCCTCTTCCCCTGATGTATTTTATCGCATTTTTTTCTCCAAGACAACCTTCACACCGTTTGCCAGGATGAGGTACAAAGATAATTGTACTACGCTTCTACAAACTCGCTCCTCAGTAGCTAAGCCAACTAAGTGTTCTCCAAATGTGCGGATGTCAACTCTGAGAATGCACAGCAATGGCATTCAGGGCATCATCAACGTTGATGTCAACATTTCTGTCAAGTGTTTGGGAAGGCTGAGCTGAACATACTGAAATAATTAAGCCTGACAACCAGCTACCATCCTTTACTTCTCCATCCTTCTGTGCTGCTTATAGCAACTACCTATCACTCCTAGCCACAACACCTTGTGTGTGTGGTAGGCCAGCCTCCTTCTACCAAGCACCCTTCACATGTGCTAGACTGAACTCCCAAAATTCTCAGCCAAACCCCAACATAACTGAAGAATGTGAGTTGCCAATGCAAAGAGGTCACCAACCATTGCTACGAACAGACATCACAGGGACAAGTAATGACCCCGTCTCTCCAGACATTTCCATGCCACCTTGCAGCCCTCCAGATACCAGCTCTAAGAAGCTATACCAAGATAGGTCCATGCAGCACAGATGACTCTTAGTCCCCTCCTACTGGCTCAAAGATGGACGAGATGGAGAAGTGCTTGTTCTGTGTACGTTGTGGCCATTTCCATCCACACCTCACAAAGGTCCTCAATGTATTACTTGACTCAGACACAGAGAAAAGGAATCTGTTTGCCAACTTGCGAATCATCATCAACTGCCAATTAGCACGTTCCCACTTTCCTCAAGATGGAAAGCTTCCAAAATGCTCATGGGCTAAGAGCTGTGAATCTTACCCCAAATACCCAAGAATTCATGGCAGTGGGTTGTGGGAGCAGTTGGATTCAGGAAGCAAATCTCCCTGCCTCACCTTGAGGTGTGGCCTCCTTTCTGCAGTGAACTGGCAAACATTTCATCACTCCATGCAATTCTCCCTTCCATTCTCATATCGTAGAAACTCCAACAAGAAACACAAATCAGCTGTCCAGTTCCTTAGTACATGCAGAATCCAAACCAATGACACTAGGAGCGATGGAAAACAAATTAAAACATTTCCAGGAGAAGAGTGGGCTGGTGTCTAAAATAATGCAGCTATTATGCATGACTTCCCAATGTTTGGGACAATCCACCCTATACCCGTGAACACTAGATGACTTACCTAAATTAGCACAGACTTCCAGACGGTGCCCAATATAGTCAAACACTGGGCAAAATAATTTCATCTCTGTTCAATGATTTCCATCCTTGGCACCTTTCCAAGTTACAAGTTACCAGCCACACCTGTGAGAGAAAGGAGAAATGTTGAAGTTCTACACCCATCCAACTGAATCTTAATGTTTACTCAATCAAATCATAGCTCGCTGCTGCTGCTTGTGCATCCTTCCTTCACAGATGTATGGAAGTCTCAGGTATAACTATGCACAGACCCTCTTGTCAAGGGAAGGCACCTTTTCGTGGGATGTAGCATGCACACAGATTTTGTGGGATGTAGCATGCACACAGATTTATGAAATATGCTTCAGCTAAGTGGGGAACAGCCACTTCCACAGCAAGGATGGCAAATACCTCAGACAATTCAAATTCACAAAAATGTAACATACTTCATAAAGGAAAAAATTAAAAGATGAGTACATCCACCCTGAGAGGTGGACTAGTATACTGGTCCAATGTAGAGAAAAAAACAGTATCTGCCAAATAAAGAGTGAAAGGAGGGGCCTTAGCTATTGTGTTCTTGAAGATTGTTTCCTAACGTTTCGCCAGCACCTGTGACCGGCATCTTCAGAGTGCAGGAGCACAGACAGGAGCAGTTCTCTCTGTGCCCAGCTCCTGTTCAGTGCGAG